AAGAGTCTGCTCTGTGCCCAGCCTGGAGTGCAATGGTCAGGATCTTTGGGCTCACTTGCAGCCTCACCTCCTGGGTTCAGCCATTCTCCCTGCCCTCAGCCTCCCGAGTAGCCTGGAGAGGTGATCTGCACCACCCACCCCCAGCTAAATTTTTTTGTTATTTTTTAACAGGACAAGGAATTTATTCACGCTGGCAGGCTGGTCTTGAACTCCTGACCTCAAGTGAATCTCCCCAAGTGCTAGGATTACGGCCATGATAAGCCACCCCTGCCCCACCCCAAGGCATGTGCCTATTAAAGCAAAGCCTGCTTTCTCTCAGGTTCAGAAGCCTCAAAGGGGGGGTCATTTCCGTGTACTGCCAGAGTCCCTGCACCCGAGGGGGATTTCACAATTTCACTGTACAAGCCCATTTTAATTAACTAGGTTCTTCTCAGAGGCCAGGAACACACACTTAGAGATGGGAGGCTGCAGCTGCAAAGCCACATGAGATGGGGCAGGAGAGGACTGCTGTCTTCCCGAGTTTAAAATACGCCCAGGAGCCCCCTTCCCCCACCCCACCTGCAGATTCACACTTGAGGGGACCTTGCCACATGCAGGGGTGACTCAGGGACCTTCTCCTCCCATTCATGGCCAAAGTACAAGAACAAAGGGCAGATGCATGGGGTGGAGCCCGCTTAGAAGATGTGGGTCCCGTGACGACATAAACTAGCCCTAAAGCTGGAGCCATTCCTACAGAGGCCGTTTCATCCTGCATGGGACAGGACCCCGCCTCTCCTCCAGGTGGGACCTAATCCTTTGCCTTAAACTGGCTTATTCTTAACTGTACACTCACAAAAATAATCCATTTTATCTGCAGGATTCCCGGGAAAGGAATTCTTGCATTCGGATTATGAGGACTCTGTCCAGGGAGCTCTCACACCTCCCTCGAAGCAGGGAGAGCTCGCCGCCGGCCATGGGAGCCGCCCGCCACACAGGGGTTGGTGAACGAGGCTGCCATGCAGTGAGGCTGAGGGAGAGGGTTTGAAGGTGCTACTGGGGATGACAGTGACCAGTCCCAGGCCTGCCACCTTCAGACCGAGAGCAGGCACAAGCCAAGTCTGCTCACTTAACTGAGACCAGCTCCCAGGAGACAGCGTTCCAGACCCCAATGCCTTCTCCCTGTGGGAAAATCTGGATGGGGGATAAAAAAAAAAAAAAAAGGTAGGGCTGAGGCTTGTCCTGGACCCGTGGGTATCCACCATTTGCAGCCCGATCAACCAAGCCCACCTTTAGGGGAGGAAAGACAGGGCAGCAACCAGAACATGGCATTGAAAGTCGGAGGCTCATATTCCCAAGGCACCATGCCCCAGGCAGGACCTTCCACAGATTTTGACATCCCAGGAAAACAGCCATTGTAGACTGAGCTGGGAGGGCCTGGTGAGGAAGTGTGGGGGGCTGGGAGCCAAGGCCTGGGCGTGTCTCACTCCGGCCACTGACACCCTGGCCCAGGACACACTTTCTCTGGCCTTGGGTCTGCACATCCTCAAACAAGGTGCCCTCCAGATCTGATCCCTGAGGGCTGGACCAGTGGGTTCAAAGCAAACACAAAGGGAAGGGGAGGGACACAGAGCTTCATAACCACGCAAGGACGCTTGCTCTGAAGGCATCTGCTCTCCCTGAAGGAAGCAGCCTGGACCACAAGGGAGGACTGGGCCGAAGAGCTTCCAGAGCAGGTACAGAGGAGGCTGAGTGCGGGCGGTATTCTGTGTGTGCAGCGTCTCGGCTGTGAGTGCAGGGTCTCGGCTGTGAGTGCAGGGTCTCGGCTGTGAGTGCAGGGTCTCGGCTGTGTGTGCAGCGTCTCGGCTGTGTGTGCAGGGTCTCTCGGCTGTGAGTGCAGCGTCTCGGCTGTGAGTGCAGGGTCTCGGCTGTGCGTGCAGGGTCTCGGCTGTGCGTGCAGGGTCTCGGCTGTGCGTGCAGGGTCTCGGCTGTGCGTGCAGGGTCTCTCGGCTGTGCGTGCAGCGTCTCGGCTGTGCGTGCAGGGTCTCGGCTGTGCGTGCAGGGTCTCGGCTGTGCGTGCAGGGTCTCGGCTGTGTGTGCAGGGTCTTGGCTGTGCGTGCAGGGTCTCGGCTGTGTGTGCAGGGTCTCGGCTGTGCGTGCAGGGTCTCTCCACTGTGTGTGCAGGGTCTCAGCTGTGTATCCACCCCACCGCACCCAGCCCCTCTGTCCTGTTTCAACAGTGAGGCTCGAAAGATCCAGCTCTGCGAAGTGGGAGGATGGAAGACCGCTGCACACTGTGGAGAAGAGGCTGTGCTCCTAATAAGTGCACGTAAGAGGACGAGGGGCACAGGCCACCCTGCCTGGCCACAGAAAGGAAGATACGAGCTGGACTCCACCAACCAGGTCTGGGAGGATCTGTGCCTTTGAAATCCTCCAAACACCCGGAGGCCACCCTACTGCACTTCCACCAGGGTCTCTGGGGTCCGGGTCCCACTCTTCTTCCTCCTTCAGAGGTTTGTGGTCATTGCTCAGTAGGGACTCAGCCTGGTTAGAGTCTCCTAGGAGCACGGAGTGAAGGGCCAGCCCACAGCCATTGCCCCTTCTCTCTGGAAGACAAGTACCATCTCCGTGTCTCATGGGGTCTGTCTCATGGGCCTTGAGCAGCAGCTCGCCTCTGCTGGAGAGATCCATGTGCTGGGAGGACCCGTGTGCTATGGGGATCCGAGTGCTGGGAGGGACCCATGTGCTGGGGGGACCCGTGTGCTGGGGGAATCCGTGTACTGGGGGAATCTATGTGCTAGAGGAACCCGGTGCTGGGGGGATCTGTGTGCTGGGGGGGCCGTGTACTGGGGGGCATCGGTGTGCTGGGGGGATTCGTGTGCTAGAGGGACCCATGTGCTGGGGGGAGCCCATATGCTAGGGGGATCCATGTGCTGTGGGGAGCCCATGTACTGGGGGGCACCCATGTGCTGGGGCACCCGTGTGCTGGGGGACCCATGTGCTGTGGGGAGCCCATGTACTGGGGGGATCCATGTGCTGGGGGGAGCCCATGTACTGGGGGGCACCCGTGTGCTGGGGGACCCATGTGCTGGGGGGAGCCCATGTACTGGGGGGCACCCGTGTGCTGGGGGATCCATGTGCTGGAGGACCCATGTGCTGTGGGGAGCCCATGTACTGGGGGGATCCATGTGCTGTGGGGATCCCATGTACTGGGGGGCACCCGTGTACTGGGGGATCCATGTGCTGGAGGACCCATGTGCTGTGGGGAGCCCATGTACTGGGGGGATCCATGTGCTGGGGGGAGCCCATGTACTGGGGGGCACCCGTGTTCTGGGGGGATCTGTGTGCTGGGGGGAGCCCATGTACTGGGGGGCACCCATGTGCTGGGGAGATCTGTGTGCTGGGAACATTCATGTGAGGTTGTTTTCCTGGCACAGCAGGGGCTGTTTAAACCAGGAAGTTGGGTCCAGAAATGGCAACATCATACTCTTTAAGAAACCAGGCCTGGGAGCCTGGGGAAGGGGACATTCTGACTGACAGCACCTAGATTACCACATACCCAACCCCAAGACTCCCTGACACCACCGCCAGGGACGAAGCTTCAGGGGCACCAGGAAATACCTGAATATGAGGTGTCATTGAGGAAAGGGTTCTCATCTGCACGGGGACACAGACAGCTGGAAATGTGCAGAAGGGAGCTCCGAGACCACACGCCGCCATTAACCCCGGACCGTCACTTGCTCTTCTCCTCCGTGGCGTGGCTGCTCTGCACAAAGGAAAGACGGATGCTCGAGGTCACGCGCTCAAACCCACACCCAGTGGGGAAATCTGCGCCATCTCCAACGGCTGAGTTGCCCAACGGAGAGATTTCAAGCTTTCCAAGAACTGACGTGGTTTCTGGAAGGAACGGGCCGCATGAGATGAGGGAAGGGGAGCACGACCCACGGCCAGGTCCCCAGCGAGGAGCCAGGCTGGCATCCGAAGTCCACTTGGAACGCAGCCTAGGACACAGGGCGCCTGTGGCACGCCGTCATTGACACTGTCCCAATCGCTCAGCTCCAGGAAGGGCTGAGGAGAGAGTGACTGCTCAGTGAGATGTGCCGAATGAATGAACCCCTCATGCCCTCACAAAAGCACTTGTAAGGGCAGCTGGGAGTTCTAGCATAGGAGAGACTGCAGCACCAACTGCTCAGAGGAACTCGTTTAAAAGGAGCCCACAGGGATGCTTATTTTTAGGACAACACGTACAGGATGAAATGCTTAAACAGAGTTGATGGAGAATGTGCCACCCGTGGGCACCGTACCCGGAGCACACAGCCCCTCGAGGAAACAAGCTGTCGGGTGCCCAGAGCAGATGGGAAATCGAATCCAAGAATGTTCAGGAAGAACAGGCCTCAGGCATTCACACGGCTCTCCCTGCCTTCAAGCACCAACTGCAAAAACAATGCCGCATGATACTTTCTCTCCCTCCACAGCCTTCAGAGAAAGGCTCTGGCCTGGCCAGAGCTCATGCTTATGATCCCAGCATTTTGGGAGGCCGAGGCAAGAGGATTGCATGAGCCCGGGAGTTCCAGACCAGCCTGGGAAACACAGCAAGATCTCATCTCTACAAAAAATAAAAATAAAAAATTAGCCAGGCGTAGTGACACAGCCCTGTAGTCCCAGCTACTTAGACTGAGGTGGGTGGATCACTTGTGTTCAGGAGTTTGAGGCTGCAGTGAGCTGAGATTGTGCCACTGTACTCCAGCCTGGGCAACAGAGTGAGACTCTGCCTCAAAAAAAAAAAAAAAAAGATTCCAAAGTCTCTTTGGTTAGCATATTTCCTAGATGTGTCACTAGTAAAGATGCACTTTATAGAAAATGAATATAACTTCTGCCCGTAAGTGGTATATTCAGCCAAGTCAATAAAAAGTCATGAGTCAGGCTGACCTGTGTTCACTTCTCAATGGGCTGCTATTGCGAAACTGAAGTTTTAAATCTGAAACCGCATCTCAGCGGGGCTGAGGACCTGCAATCGCAGGGGTTGCCTCAGTGCTTCCTCCTGGGGTCCAAGCTCCCTTCCTTGCCTGAAAAGCACTCACTCCACAGGAGCAGAGAAGTTAGGCCTGCAGCAGCCCAGAAACCGGAGAGCACAGGCCTTCAGCAAATTAGGAACAGCTCCCCAGAAAACAAAGCACCCCTGTAATCCCAGCATGTTGGGAGGCTGAGTCGGGAGGATCGCTTGAGTTCAAGGATTTGAGACCAGCCTGGGCAACATGGCAAAACCCCATCTCTACCAAAAAAAAAAAAATTTACTGGGACATGGAGGCGCATGCCTGTAATCCCAGCTACTCGGGAGGCTGAGGTGGGAGAATTGCTTGAACCCCAGAGGTACAGGCCGCAGTGAAAGATCACGCCATGGCACTCCAGCCTGGTGACAGAGCAAGACCCTATCACAAAAAAAAAAGAAAAGAAAGCAAGAGAGAGAGGGAAGGAAGGAAGGAAGGGAAGGAGGAAGGGAGGAAGGGAGGGAGGAAGGGAGGGAGGGGAGGGAGGGGAGGGAAGGGAGGGAAGGGAAGGATGGAAGAAAGAAAAACAGCACTCATGAAACCCGCTGCCCAGCACCATCCACCCCATGTTGCCTCCCAACACAGAGCCCCGACCCCGGCCTGCTTTCGTTCAGTCACATTTCTGGGAAAACAAATCTACTGTCTCCCGGCGTCTCTGTCTGGCATCTTCCAATAAAGTAGCCACCCCATGGCCAGCAGCAGCAGACCCGAGGGGGGTTTCTGATTCAGAGACCTAGGTGCTCGGGTGCCCCACACTTCAGCAGAACCAGAGCTTTTAGCTTTGCTACTATTATTGGAATTCAAGTCATCAAGAAAACTAGGCAGATGGGCCAATCTAAATATTCTGCAATTGGTAAGGATTTCACACAGCTTCCGCAGAAAGAGAGACGTATCTCAAGTTCGCAGCCATCTCCCCAGCGCCCCCCACCCTACCCCACAAAGAGTCCCTGGGACTGGGGGTGCAAATGAAGTCAGTTCAGTCTCAATACCCAAGTGTTTCCCAAAATCCTCTTTAATAATACATGAAACCCACATTGCTGCAATCAGTATAAAAACAGTTATTCCTGATTTTGTACAAATGAGCATGTCTAGAGTCAGGATTATCAAGCATCAAGATACAAGTACCAAGTGGGAGGACCAAAGACAACTCACAGTGAAGAGAAACGCTTGGGAACAAGAAATGTCGAAGCTGCAGGACGTGGTGACAACCCAGGGTGCCGAAAGGGTCAGGGGTGCAGGTGCAGACGCAGGTTTCTGCCTGTGCAAGGGTGAGGGGCCGTCGCAGGCTGGCTGCAAAGGACCAGTGCCGGGCAGTGAGGCAGAGAGTGCCAGGGCTCTCGACTCTGCAGATTGGGCTTTGCAGAAGATTCCTGTTTCCCCACCTCCCCACCCCTCTAACAGAGACCGAGGAGACCACGCACATTGCCCTCCTCTTCATAGCCAGCCATCGTTTCCACTCCCACATTCTGCTGCGTGTGTCACTCTGGAAAAATAATTCCTTGGTGTTCCTTGCTCCTTTCAGATCACAGCTTGCCTGGTCAGACCCCTTCCCACATGCACAGTCTGAGTCCAGGAGGCCCTCGAAAGTCAGGCACAACACCCAGATCTGGTCCTCTTGGGCGGCTTCTGACTGGATATATCCACTGTGTGTGACGGCCTCTCGGCTCTCTGCTGTAAGATCATTGGCACCACCAGGTCAAACAGGGTCTCAAACAGGAGGTCCACATTGTAGCCGGTCTTGGCGCTGGTCTCAAAGCACATCTGCTCAGCGGCCGGCACGTCCTGCTCATCCAGCATCTTGTACTTGAGGATCTTTTTATAAAGGGCCACGGCGTCCTCCAGCTGCACCTGCTTAGGCACCCTGGGGGAGACACAGTCCCCGGCATCCGTATCTGGACTGCACTTTTCCTTCTCCTGGCCCGCCAAGGCCCCCTCCTCAGTGAGGTCCACTTTGTTCCCCACGATGGCGAAGAGGCAGTCTTTGCTGGCCGTGTCTGTCAGGCCCAGGAACCGGTCCTCCAGCTCCACCAGGCTCTGCGGGTGATTCACATCATAGGTGAGGATGATGGCGGCTGCCCCCCGGCAGTACATGGAGCCCAGACCATGGAACTGCTCCCGCCCTGGTGGGAGAAGAGGGACAGAAAGACTGGTTATCTCTCATCTCAGAACACAGCCACCAGCCACACTGCAAGGGAGCGTCCCACAGGGATGTTTATTTTTAGGGCAATACATACAGGATGAAACGCTTAAACATAGTTGATGGAGAACGTGCCACCCATGGGCACCATCCCCAGAGCAGGAAGCCCCTCGAGAAAACAAGCTGTTGGGTGCCCAGAGTAGATGGGAAATCGAATCTAAGAATGTTCAGGAAGAACAGGCCTCAGGCATTCACACAGCCCTCCCTGCCTTCAAGCACCAACTCCAATGGAGCCATGGCCCCAGCCGTGGCTGGAGATGGAAGGAATCAAGAACCGATATCCAGAAAAAGGCAGCGACGGCCAAGGCCCTTGCTGAGATAGAAGCTGACTCAGGAACGCAGGCTCTGGAAGCTAAGTGTGCTCATGTTCCTTCACCCTCCTCCTCCTACAGCCCGTGGGTGCTCCCAGCTGCCCCGTGCTGCCCTGCCCAGGAGGCGCTGCGGGGAGAGCTTCCGAGTTCGCAACAGGGGTTGTAGACCACACCTGCACTTACCTGCCAGAATCACACAGCACCTTGCAGTGTTCACAGTATTTTTAGGACACAGTGGACATCTTCTCTCCCTCACTGGAATCTGAATCCCTGAGGAGCCAGGCCTCAGCGTTTGCACTTCTTGCGGGTGCCGCAGCCCCACCTGCCCTCCAGGCTTTAAAACAGACAGAGGTGCGCGCAATTGCAGGCAAGTTGGGAGCCTGCTCCCAAAACATTGCCAGGTCGAGATCAAACCCTCGGGACACGGCTCAACGCCAACACATTGGCTGCTGACAAGGTGCTGTCTGTCGCTGGGTCTGGCAGGGAACAGGGCCAGCTGGCACACACCCTGCAGTGCCTGGAGCGTGGGCCTCCGCTCTCCCCGTGCCCCCAGCACTTCAGCCTCACAAGGTCGGTGAGGGCACACACGCCTTCCACGAGGAGACTGAAGTGTGGGGGAGTCAGGCACAGCAGTGCTCGAGGGAGGCTGGGCCAGGGCACTGGAACACCCGCCACCACCCTGTATATAAATGCAGAGGCCCCCAAATTGATGGCTAAAAAGGGGGATGAAAAGGTCCTGGTCTCTGTGTACTTTTACAATGCAATCATCTAATCAAACCAACCCGGGTCAGAATACACTCCCCACAGGTAACACCTGCACATCCATAGTGTCCTGTTCCCGACATCTGCCCCAGGGCCACCTTTCTATCCCACCAGCAGTGCGCAGATCCCCAAGGGGGCCTGCTCACCTCCCCACCGGCAGGCAGCTCCCTGCCAGTCCACTCAAGGGCTACCCAGGAACTTTCTGGCAGAATTCTACACTCCTGCCTGTAGCACAAGCTTCCTGCATACTCAGATTTGGAAGACAGACTCCCACAAGGGGAGCAGATCTGGCCAAGGCAGGTGTTCCTGGGATAGGTGCAGTGCACACAGCAGGTGACAGCCCCCAGCAGGGAGGGCCCAGACGAGCACACCTGCTGGTATGTCCTCCAGGCCTCGGCATGCTTTTCATCGTTGGGCACATCTGCCGCGTTGGGGCGATGAGCTCTCAGGTTGGGGCGATGAGCTCTCAGGAAGCAGCTGTGGGAGAGGCGGCAGCATGCACCATGGCCCCCACCTGCCTCTCGCGGACCGAGCAGGGTGTGCGTGGCATGGGCCCTCCCTGCTGGCAGAAAGGGGCTTCACAGGCACTCCTGGTGATGAATCTGTTTCAATCACCAACGAGCAAACCCTAAGTGAGATCTTCCAACCACAAAGCACCTGCTCCCCACCACACCTGCCAGGGGCACACTTTCGAAGAGGAATGAGACTGAGACCTGTGCTCAGATGCCATCCCAAGGAGCCTCTGCAGACAGGCCTGGAAGCTGCAGGCCAGCTCCTCCCCTCCTCCCCGGGGCATGTGTGGCCTCCTGGGCCGTGCCCTTAGACCAAGAGGAGGGAGAGCTGGGAACGACTGACAACAGCACTGGCCTCCACTCTCAAGCTCAGAACGCAAGGTCAAGTGTCTCTGAACAAGGATGAGGCTGCTGGGGCGCTGGCGCAGAGAGAGGTGGCACCCAGGGAGTGTCCAGGCCCCATTCCAATCCCTTTCCTGGGAAAAGTAAGCCTGATTTTGATTTTTTAAAAAGAAGCTAACAATGTGGATTTTAATCTCCCAAGTTTTAAGCATTCAAAACTAATTCAAAATGTTCTAAAGATCACATTTAGGCAAACCAAAATGCAACAGTGGCCCATCATCGGCAGCTTCTAAATTATAGAAGTCCCATGTCACTCTGAGGGCAACTTCCCCTAAGTGTGTGGACAGCGTCGACCAGTAGCAAGGACTCTTAACCACCGGGGTCATAAACCAAATTCATAGGGTCCATGACCTTGAATGTGGGAGAAAATGTCATCTTTGTTTTCACCACGCTCTACCTGAAATTTACCACTTCCTTCCACTATAAATATTGGCAGCAAACTGCAGAAATGGCAGTAAGGGGCACTCATCACCAACAAGGCCAGCAGGTGCCTCCATCCGCATGCCAGCCGCCTCAGACACTCCAGTGCGATGCCGACGACCCTTCAGGCCTGCCACGCCTTCATTCATTAATATGTGGACCATGGACCACATACCAATCGTAATTTTAAAAGGCTCTGGATGGTTGTACTTAAGGACAGCTGGTTACCTTTGTATGTGACTACACGTACTTGGGCACAGTGTTCTGAGAAGGGGTCCTTGGCTCATATGCCTCGGGGGCCGAGGGGATCTTGACACAAATGAGTTAAGGACGCTTGGTCTGTGGGGCTTTGGAGCATGGACTGAACGCACAACACCTGCACATATGTGGCTCCCTAAGGCAGTCTGTCCTTTGCCAATAAACCACCGCTCAGAGCCAAATAGCCAAGAAACACAACCCAATTTCATCCCATTTCCATCCCCAGTCTCCTGAAATGGCCACATTCTGATGACACCAAGTCCTCAAACCTTGCTAGGCGATGCTGCCTGAATTTTGAGGCAGGCTGGTCACCCTTTGGGCAACCCTGGGGAGAGAAGCCCACAGAGACACACACTCATGTCCTGCGAGAAGAGCCAGACGGACCTGACTACTGACCACTGTGGTCGCCCAGGCCCCGAGCGTGGGTTCCAGCTCCCCTTCAGCAAAGCCGACAGTGTGCCCTTCGGGGATGGGAGGGAAAGTGAGCTGGGAGCTGAGCCCAGACCAGCTCTGGTAGGAGGCAGAAGAATGTGCCCTGCTGCCAGTCTGAGGGTCAAAGTGCCAGAGCTAGCCGGGTCACCTCCCTCTTCTGGGAAAAGCCAGCCTGGGAATGCTGTGGTTTGGGCGACAGAGCCACCCTGTTGGCAAGCAGCTTGTGCGCTGGAATTCAGCACCTGAAGGGCAACATTCCTCCCTTCCGCATGCCTACCGGGGTCAGCTTCAGACTGAGAAGTCAGTCCGTTTCCGGTCAAGCTGGCCTGGACCCCAGCAGGCAGAAACCAAATAGTGTCCCCCAGATCCAGTCATTCTCCCACTACAGAAGATGATGATCAAGAGCCTTTAAACCCCAATATAGCAGGCATTAGCTTAAAAAAGAAAAGGCTAGGGCAGGAGGATTACTTGAAGCCAGGAGTTGGAGACCAGCTTGGGCAACACAGCAAGGCTCTTATCTCTCTCTCTCTCTCTCTCTCTATATATATATATATAAAATTTATATATATGTGTGTGTGGTGTATAGTATTAATATGGTATATATATATACTTTTTTTTTAAATTAACAGCATCGGGGACACATGCCGTGTACCTCCCAGCTTTCCTCTCTCTCTGTCTCTATATATATGATTTTATTATACTAGTATATATTTATTTTTTTTTTTTTTTTAGATTAAACCAGGCATGGGGACACATGCCTGTACTCCCAGCTACTCGGGAGGCTGAGGAGGGAAGATCACTTAAGCCAAGGAGTTTGAGGCTGCAGTGAGCTACGATCATGCCACTGCACTCCAGCCTGAGCAACAGAGTGAAACCCCATCTCTAAAATAAATTTTAAATGGTAATAATAGAGAGAAGAAAAAGGCCAGGGGCAGAGACTCATGCCCATAATCCCAGCACTTTGGGACGCCAGGGCGGGTGGATCACCTGAGATCGGGAGTTTGATACCAGCCTGACCAACATGGAGAAACCCCGTCTCTCCTAAAAATACAAAATTAGCGGGGCGTGGTGGTGCATGCCTGTAATCCCAGCTACTCGGGAGGCTGATGCAGGAGAATTGCTTGAACCTGGGAGGCAGAGGTTGCGGTGAGCTGAGATACCGCGACTGCACTCCAGCCTGGACAACAAGAGTGAAACTCCATCTAAAAAAAAAAAAACAAAAAAAAAAAAAACAGAAACAAAAAAAAAAATGCTTCTCACATGGATATGCCTGACAGTCACTTAAGAGCTTTATTGTCTTCAGGGAACACCTATCCCCAATAGATAACAGTCCAGGCATCACGAGGTTTTTACGTGAGCTAAAAATGTCATCAGCTTCTACCTACCAGATTTCACAAGAGTGTGACTATGGGAAGGCGGAGTGAGGGACATTCCAGCTACCCCGGAAGAATTTTTTTCAAGTCTCTGTTACATGGTTCACTATGGCCAAAGGGAGAACTGTTGATGCCTATGCCGAAAATAGTTTTTCATTCCGCATAAAAATGTCTGCTTCGCCTTTAAGAAACTAAAAAAAGAAATAATAATACAAAAGGAAAGATCTTAGTAATGAAAGGAAGTGGCCACTGAAGAATCACAAATGCTAGCCAGAAAAAAGTAAGAACTGTTGCTTGAACTCTATAATCTGTTATCTCCCCATTAATGAATGCAAAACAATTAAATGCAGTTGCCCCAGCTAAAGAATTTACAAGCAAGCAGTTTTCATATCTGAAATTCTAAAATACTGCTTTGGAGATAATGTATAGCTTTTAGGATTGCTAATGGAATATTCAGGCTGCTGTCAATGAGCGCATTGTCCACACCAAGAAGGGCCAGTCCCGTGGGGAACAGAAGTTCTGAATTTAATCCTAATTGAATTTGAGTAGGGGCTCTGGTATTTAAGGCATGACAGTGAACATAAGACAATGAAGATAAGATGGTGTCACTACAACCTGACCTTTTGCACTTGGCTTTGACGGATTTACAGTGTATTTGAATCCAAGGACCCTCATGCGTTTTCTGGTAGTCTGTGAACGTGCTCTGAGCCGGGCCGTCAGCCCCTGCTGCCCACCCCATACATATGTCAGCCCCTGTATCTCTCAGAGTGTTGATTTCCTGTCTACAAGTATGGGCTTAAACTGGCTACTGCAAAGTCCCTCTCCCTGGAAAAAGGATCAGACATCTCTTTCTCTCTTGCCTTCTCCCCCAGACTGGAGTCCCTCAGTACCAATCCTGAAGCCAAAGCGCTAAGAATTCTGATAGTTTACTTGGACTTTCCTGGAGAAATAAAACGCCTCACATCCAATTCTGGGGATGCCAGAGCCTCAGGCTGCCCCAGAAACAGGGCAAAAGAGAAAAATCACAAATGGGTTCAAATTCAACCAGTGCAGCCAAGGATCAGTGAGCTGCCAACCCTGGTCTGGTGAACGGAGCCAGGCTGCCGAGCCTGCGTGGCCACTACCAACACCGGCCTGCTGCTCCAGCACATCATCAGGGCTGGGGGCAGGGGTTT